CGGAGGCTCCGCCGGGGAGCTGCTGCTGGACTGGCACAACCCGCGAACCGCGCTTGTCAGCCCCCTGGTGAGGTACTCTGTGTTTCTGCAGGTAAGGTCATATTGTGAAAAGCTGACGCAGAGCCCTGATGATAAGCGTACCTCTTCGGCATAGAGCCATTAAAGACATTTGGACACCCTTACGAGATAGTTCAGTTAGATTGAACTTCATGCTGTAACAGCCCATAGAATTTTTATTCAAATGAACACATAGATTAGAGCCACCACTGTTGAAAACAATTTTTCCTTAATATTATTTGACATGCAAACTAAGCTGTGCTTGCAAGGTATTAAAATTGTAACTTTTAAACAGAAGTGGTCATTGGATAGGAGTTATGTCTCCGTTATCCTGCCAACTCTATTTAAAGCCCCAGCTTGCTCTTCTCTTGATTTATATGGCTGAACGCCAATGGTGTTTATAATATGAATGCAGTCTCCAGGATATGCATGCCCTTTCCCCTTCATTTAGCCAACGGAGTAAGCCAGTATAAAGAGTTATCCAGCCGTTCTGGTCATTAAGGCAAACATATGAGCAATTTCTGTATCAGACTCTCCGATATAGACCACTACTGCTACCCTGCGCTGTTGCTTGGGAAGGTCAGTGGAATCATTTATTCTGTCTTCTGTTCAGAAGGACACTGTTATCGTTAACAGGACACTTCTTACTCAGAGCAGGGCTTACTTGTTTTATCTGTAGTGAGTAAGTCTAGAGTAAGAACAGGATATGGGAAGAAGTCTATGAGCTCCAGGGCTTTCAGGTGGATCAGTTATAAAGGGAGGAGGTGGGGAGGTTTTTGTTCTGTTTTACACTTTTTAGCACACATTCATACCACCTAACTTTGGATGGCCAGCAGAAGGCAATTGCCCTAAGTTCTCCATACCGGCAATGGAGAGAGATTAGCTGCTCTTGAGGGCTGAAGACTTGTTTAGAGATAATTTGTTTTCCTCTTCATTGACGGAAGGGTACATTATAGGTAGGTCAAGCAGGTCTCTCACTTACCTGTTTCAATTACATTCCTAAACCTGTTTGAGGGAATATCTTCATACAGACATTTGCACTCTTTCAGTGCATGGATGTATAGACTATGTGGTGCAACTGCATTTGTGGTAGCAAAAGTAGAGGAGTGAAGAGATGGCTCAAAAAAGACTTGGTTAGATTTTTACAGATACTATTTCTTGTTATTTAATACCACTTTGCCTGACAGTACAATTCTCATGTGAATTAGACGTGAGCAGATGGCTGTAGGTCTCCAGGGCAGAACGAAACACAATTGATGTTGAAATTATGCTAGCTAAAGGCCGGTTGAACTAATGGTATCTTACTCAGTATAAATAAAGTAAAAATGGTGTGAAGAGATGATATCAAACCTATAATAAAGATTGCAAAAAAAGTTATTTTTGTATTAAGCAATCTGGCCTGACAAAGTTTGTGTAAAGTGCTTTGTGCTTTATACTTATTGTATAAGGATATTATATTATTAGATGTCCCCATGCTAGGTTTAATATACCACAATATATTATGTATTAGGATGCCGTGGTATATTCAGTCATGGCTTATGTCGCTTCTGTGTGTCAAAAGTAAAGATTGTTTTAAATGCAGTTTTAGGAAGCTAGAACTCGAAGCTAAAATGTTCATTAAATCCTAAAAGTGACTTGTTGAAAGAAAATAAATCTCTCAGTTGTAGGGCGTTTAAATGTCGCATCTATATATGATGTCAACATGTATCTATTACTTAATGTTCAGTTAACAAGCAATGCCTGAAGCTGCTTGTATGTTAAAGATTTTTCTTTTTCCTCCACATTCCTGATCTCTGCATATTAAACTTCTGAAGCATGCTCTGTCTATAAAAGTTTCCTTGACAGAGAGAGGAAGCAGGAGCTCAACCAGTGATCCCTTGAGTGCCTTTCTCTGACACCATTTGACGCATTCTGTTACAACCACAAATTAGTTAATTGCAAACACAATCTTTACAAAGCCTCCTGACACTTACACTTAGAGCAGATTTACCCTGATAGACAGGCATGACTGGTAAACTCATTGAAAATTACTGAGCTTTGGAGATTGAGTATTGCCAATTGAGTTTTGCCCTGGCCCTGCTGAAACAGGATGAAAGCTTGCACAACTTATAAAAGTTATAAAGCTAATCAGGTCACTATTTTGGCAAGTCGACGATGTACAATGGAATGTGATGCAGAGATTTGCAAACCAACACTTGGTCGAACTCATACAGCAGCACTGTATAGAGAAGTCCGGCACCTTGCTGGCAAAAATGCCAGCACTGTCAGCCAGGCTTTTTAGCCTCCAAGTCGCCTTGTGACATACTCTTATCCCACCTAAAGAGCAGTGCTGAGATATTATAAGTATTTGTCTTTCCTGGGTCTATGGTGTGAGATAATTGAGCTAATGAAGGCAAAATTATCACAAAAGATAATCTACTAAAGGTTAGAGGCTCATTACTAAAACATCCTTCCTCTCAGCATGAAAACCACACTCAACTACATGTCCACAAGGCTTTTCTTTTTCCTACTCCTTCAAATTTACTATCTACTTACAAATCTACTGAAATGCTAATGTGCCATCAAGAAAAGATAACTGTGGAGAGAAATTTCAGTCTTACCTTTGAATAATTCTTTTCCTGTACCCACTACTTCTGTTAATGTAGTGGGTTTGTATTCAACCATTTTTTGGAGTAAATAGAAGTATGGTTGTAATCCAATTGCAGAAATTAGTCCTATTTAGTAAAATAACAAGGTACTTTTTGCAAAGTCTGAAGAAGCCAGTGAAGCAATGGAAGGAATACAAAAAATCACATATATTAGGTGCAACCAATATATGTTGCTATTGTGTTTTTCAATTTTACAAAAACCAAATAATTACCACTTACTTTGTATTAGCACAGACTTCAAGGCAGAAGCAAGATTAATCACAAGGTACTGTGAGGTTTGTAGTCTGGCATCTTAAAACACTTCAGGGCTGTGCAAAACAAGCAGGATTTTCTTTCATTTTGTAAGTCTGAGTAAGCAAACCCAGGCCAGAAAAAAGTCTGACCGAAAATGGAGGGCTGCCTTTTGAGATGTGTCTTATGTGGTAGGAAAACATTACATGCTTACTTTTCTATGATGCCTGTTGTGTGATCTACAGAGCCAGCTACTTGTACTGAGGTTCTGTAAAGATGCCGTTTGTAACTAAAGTGCAAATGAGCTAGTAAAGAGGTCAGTGATACTAATGTTTCATTTAAAAAAAAAAAGTCTATATTTTACAAGAGAAATCAAGACAGTGTTTCACTTTCATAGAAATGGAATTGAACCATTGACTTCTAGTTCTGGGGACTATGTCTCTGGAATACAATAAAACTAACTAATGAAAAGTCTTATGTAATATGTATATACATATTAAAGCCTTACATTGCAAAACAGACCATCTGCCATTCTTTAAAGAGAATGTCAAGAAGGAAATTTATTACTTTTTATTATTACAGCAAAGATGCTTGTGGCAGCCCACAAATATTTATATCTGCTTTGCAAATGGGAAATGGCAACAAAGGAAGCCCACATAGCTGAAGAACTGTAGTTGTTAACTTTTCTTTCTGCTTTCTTCAGGGTATTCTAGAGCGCCTAGATGCTGGAGAAATTGTGATTGGAGATGGAGGATTTGTCTTTGCTCTTGAAAAGAGGGGATACGTAAAAGCTGGGCCTTGGACTCCTGAGGCGACGGTAGAACACCCAGAAGCAGGTCAGTTCTACTGTGAAATGGTAATCCTGGAGTGAATGCAAACATGTTGGCTAAATAATAAATATATAGGAACTTTTAGTAGGTTTTTCAAAAAAAGCGTTCCTTGATGTTGTAGAATTATGGTGTTAAGAACAGCCCAAGAATCTATAGACCAAATGCTTATTGTACCCCATTTTCTTGCTGTAACAGTGGCCAAACACAGTTGGCTGGGCAAGAATAGGAGTAGTACAGACATATAGTAATACCTCTCCAGAATTGTCTCCCAGTGTGCTATAATTTGCAGCCCAGAGACTTTTGACCTAGATATGTTGTCTCTGTATTTCGTACCATTTAGTGATTTCTCTCTCATGGATTTGTCCAGTCTGTCTTTGATCTAATGTAAAGCTTGTAATTTAAAACATCTTGTGAAAAATAATTCTGCAGTTAACTGTTTTGTTGTGTTCTAGTTATTCTAGGTCTTCTATATTGTTATAAATTACTATAGTTGGTTTATTAGTTCTTTCAGGGGAATAGCAGATTTTAATAAACAATGGAATTGGAGTATTTAATAAATCTGGCTCCACTGTGAAATGGAGAATGATAAACCTCATAAAAACCTAAGAATTGCAATAAACATTTAATGGAGTTACTCAAAGTGGACAGAGACAAAATGAGCAATCATTCCATGCCTTGTAGCATAAAGATTATGATGTTTAGCATAAATAATGCAAAAGCAGATGGATGCTGTTACCTGTTTAATATGTTTCCTTACAAGAAAGCATTTGCCCCAGTAAGATGATGAGCAGCTAAGCCCAAAAGCCAATTCAGAATATCATGGGGAAAAAATTTTTCTTTGTTCTAAGTGCTTGCCCTTCCAAATTAGTCTTTTTCCTCTATGCACAGGAAGAGGGAAGAGGAGGGGAAGGAGAGATATCTCAGCCCTTTCCATTACATTGCTTTGTACACCTTACTCGTTTATTCACCCTAATCCTCCTCAGCCTTCCAGTGTCACTTTATGGGTAGTATGCCTAATTTAGGGTTATGGACAGCCTTAGGTAATGCAGAGCTCCAGCAAGGCTTAAAAGGTCATTATCTAATTTGCTAACTCTGATCTCCCCAAAAGACATCCCATCACCTCTCTCTGCTTCTCTCCACTTCTTCGACTGCCCCTACACATTCCATCTGACAAATCATAGCACTTATCTCACACTCTTTATTTCCCCTTTGCTTACTTATTTTGCACCATAAAAGCCCTCTCCACATGTCTTTTCAATATGCGAAGGTCTGAATCCATGTGGAGTGCAAGACACTGCCTCACTTGGAGGCAGTTGCAGGTGACTTAAATTGGCTTAATTGGCACACAGATTTGCTTTAAATAAGTGATCAGTGGTCATAAGTTAGAATACAGTCTTATAAGAATCGCTACTGATTTGCTAGAACATATTGATCATGTCTGTAACATAATTATAAAATTTTTATAAGCTCCCTATAGACTATCTATAAATACACCCTTCGCTGGGAATGTGTTACTTTTGTGCAGCATGCTGCCTCCCCTCCGTTACTGCTTTTTTCTCCTGCCTGCTCAAGGGTCATGTTACTTTGGAAGCAGATGTAAGGAATAGAAGGAGCAACTGGCTGGACCAGCTGCTGTTGAAACCATACAAATACCAGACGTTCTTATCATTGCAAAGAAGGAGGAGAAAGGGAGGAGGGAGCTAAGAGTAAGGCAAGAATTGAAGAAAAATTGCCATTATCTCCATTACAAGAGAGAAGTTTAGTGAGACTGACAAGTTTAGAAATGAGATCTAAATATTTCTTCTGAGCCAATTCAGGTATTGCTCTGTAGTGAGGAGTATGCATAGGCACTTACTGCCCCCATTTCCTGTTAGCTTAAACTTCTGGTTTTTGTGAAATGTTCAGCTCATGGTGGATTGAACTGAAAACTCAAGCGTTACACATCTGACTCCTAAAATGCATCAAATCGTTAATACTATTTTAGCTTTCATCCCTATTTCTCAAATGCTGGCAGAAAACAGCTTCAGTAACACACTGGAAGTTACACAAAAAGTAAATTATGGAATCCTTTGGGGTTTTCATAATGTAGACTGCTGTGGTAATAGTAACAGTATTCTACAGATAAAAACAATTTGCCTGGGGTGAATGAGATTCAGGCTGATGCTTGTAACAAAATTCTTTCCCTCAAAAAGTAGACCCCTTCAAGAGTCTCCTGTTCACATACCTAATAGTTTGGCACATGAAGTTCTTAATTTGTATGTGTTAGATTGTATTTCATTTGCACACCTGTGTCACCATCCTTATTCACATAAATCCCAGGCATTCTTCTAGGTATGCAGGAACCGTATTTAAAGAGTGTTAACCATGGCAGTAAACAGGTCAGGTTTATTACAGTAATGTCACATAACGTTTGTGAAAATAGTCGTAGATTCTTTTTTTCTTTTCCCATTTTCTGATTAGTTTTCATCAATGATTTCTTCTAGTAGAGAGAAGAGAAGAACAAAATACAGAACTGTAGCAGGTTAGGGCTGGGCCGGCCACTAAACGCAGACAGACACTCTCTAAGCCCCTCTTACCACCCCCCCAAATGGGAAGGAAAAGGGAATGAGGCAGAGAGACTTACGGGTTAGAGAAGAAAAACTAGAACAGCTTTAATGAAACAATAATGGAAATAATAGTAAAATGATAAAAGTAAAATTAATAGTAAAATAATGAAGTAAAATAAATAAGTTAAATAATAGTCAAATGATAAAAGGCCTGATGTCGAACCCGACTCCCCCCTGCCCCGGTATCAATCCCCACTGGTGCTGCAGAGCAGGCGGCACTGGGGCAGCCCCAGGCTGAGCAGCAGCGGGAGCTGGATAAAGGGAGCTGGATTTGGGAACTCAGGATCTGGATCAAAAGCAGGAGATTGGATGGAGTCCTTTCTGGACACCGGCCATTGCAGAAAAGGGAAAAGGCAGAAAGTCTTGTGGTGACTCAATTTATACTAAATACGATGTATATGGAATGGAATATGCCTGTTGGTCACCTGTCCTGTCTGTTACCCCGCAGAGGTGCAACCTTTTACTTCCTTGTGACCCCTCTTACTACCCGGCACCCCCAGTGTGGCACACAAGAGCCAGCAGTGGCCTTGGGCACTAACAGGAATAAGCACAAATAAGTATCAGCAAGAGCCTTTCTGCATCCCAGTGCCAGACAGTGACTGTAACATCAGGTGTTGTCACTGCTGGTAGCACACACTGTCTGCAAAAACATGCTGCTGACTTCAGAAAGTGCAGCCTCTTAGAAGAGACTGAACGGAAAGTAAAAATCACTGATCAGAATTGGTTTTATTTAGCTCAAACCAGGACACTAGAACACTAGAAACGTACAGCGACAGCCATTTTAGTTGGAATCAATAGCCTGTTTCAATGCTGTTGAAAGAATAATAAGGCCTGCGCTAGGAACATTTTGACTCTGAGTAAAGATTGTGACTGAAATTCGATCCTGGTAGTTCAAGCAGATTCCGGGGACTTCTTGAACTGAAGCTCTGCTATAATCTATGTTCCTGGATAGGTCCTTGTGACTGCTGGGAAGAGAAGCATTGTGTTAAATCACAGTGTGGTTACCTAGGCTTGTAATTAGAAGTGAGATACAGTACTAGGAGAGAAAAGCAAGGGATGCTGCACTGTTCCTTCAATGGAAGCAGATGTGCTTGCGTGTATACAGATTGACTCTAGCAGCTCAGACTGCTCTTTGAGCTTCTCTGGCACTGAAGGCTGTGTTTGTTGCAGCTGAAGGGAGTAATTTTATTCTCATGACACCTTTACACATTTACCTAATGCACTGCCTGTAGACAATGTATGATAAACTAGGTTTTCAGGGAAACTTTTCCAAACATCTGCTACAGGAACTGCAGTGTTCTGTCTGTGTACAGTGTCTAGAGAATAAATTATTCCTGTGTTTTCCTTAAGCTGTTGAACGTTTTAACTCCGTTTTACATGGTCAGTAGTGTTCTAGAAGTTATTATTGTTCTGTAGGTATAAAATTAACTGACAGCTCCTGTTCTGTTCCTGGTGTGGCAATTGCCATGAACTGCTTACAGTGAAGAAGGCAGAACTACCATTACAGAGCCTACTCCCAAAGTCCTAATGTAGGAAATTATTCGTCCATTAGAAGTCCTTCAGAAGAAGTGCTGGCTCTGTATTGTGCTGACTTATAAGAAGAATTAAGTTCTGTTGCCAGTCATTTTTCTGGAGCAATAATCATCTTTTAATTAAGGGTGTATTTAGCAAAATAGAGCTTTGGCTGACTAGGCTCATAGTTTTGTAGGAGAAGAAAACTAGAAAATTCAAAAATAGGGGAGGTAATGGACCACTCTGTTCTTCCATATAAATATCATCTTGTCCCTTAATTTGTTGCCACAATAAAGTCTTCTGTTTTCGTCACAATTTAGAAGCTAAGAGAATATGGCTTTTCATGTCATGATCTTTTTATCTGGTGTTCCTTGTTATGCTTTCCTGCTCTTTCATCAGATGTCTGCTTTCCCTTCCTAAACCGCTATGCAGTTCTATAAAATGAAATTGGGAGGTTTGAAGGACTGCAGAAAGTAGAAGATAGGGAAGGCAGCATGCAAAACTGAATCTACTGATAAGCTAAATAGAAATCTTCAGTCATTCTTAGCAGAGAATAACTAGGGAATAATGTTTTGAAAGTGGGAAGAAATTTTACACAGACTGAGGTACTACTTCTCTCTCCTAATGGCTCTTCTAGTAAACATAGTATATCTTACAGTAACATTACTTCAATAAACATTTAATTTTGCAGTAACAACAGCAAACTTTACCTTCTTTGTCTTTTTTAACTCTTTGCAGTCCGTCAGCTTCACCGGGAATTCCTCAGAGCTGGGTCCAATGTTCTGCAGACGTTCACCTTTTATGCCAGTGAGGACAAACTAGAGAACAGGGGCAACTATGTAGCTGAGAAATTAACTGTGAGTAGAACTCTGTTTTGATAGAGATTCGAAATAAATGGTCTAATTTCAAAAGGTTTAGGAGAAAGATTATCAAGTACTTTTCCAGTTTTTGTAAGAGTTTTTGCTATATTTGAGGACCCAAAAATGAGATGATGCAATTTCACTTTGGAATAGTGAGAAAGACAAGGTTGAAAGACCAGTTTAAAGGACAAAAAAACCCAACCAAACAAGCAAAAACCACAAAAAAACCCCAAACAAAACCAAACCACCAAAATGGGGCAAGAATGAAGAGAGGAAAGAGGATGCCCACTTTGTATTTTTCCCATCTGAAGAGATTAGTTTACTAGAGTTTTGATACAAAGAGTCTATAGGCATGACTAAATGCACAGAGAGGAAAATCAGTGAAAAAAGGTTATGCTTTAACATCCAGAGAAACAAATAAACTGCAAAAATGGTGAAGAACCCTACAGAATAATGAGCGGCCAATGAGAATGGAATGTTTTTTAGAATCGTGTTTTCAGTAAAGTAACAACTGAAACATAAGAGATGTACACTGTGGTCAATATTGTCCTTTTCATGTGTAAGGGTAACCTGTTAGAAATTCCTTGTTGGTGTTTTCTTACCCCCTACACAAAGGAATCATAGGAAGTTGGATGTGTTGACTAGATGCAGGTCTGGGACTTCTAGCACAAGCACTTCTAGATAGTCCTTTTAGAGTAGAAGGTTTACTTTTGAATGTTTTCTCTGAGCATTTCCCCTTTGGTCCTATTGTCTATTTCAACTTTGGCGAAAGAGAGGAGATTCTCCAGGCTGGGAGGGATATCTTTGCATCTCTGAAGATATTCTACGTCAGAAAAATCTGGACCCTAGGGAAACGCTTGAGGCTTAATTAAGAGGCCACAGCAAAATGTCATATGACCAAATTTATCTGAAATGCTCTACCTTTATATTCAATAGATGCAACATTGAAATGACTGAACTGCTAGTGCTAGAAACACTGTGCCTCTGGAACAAGCTCTCCTGCAACTCTTGCTGTCACGCAAATTCATAAGAAGGGGTGGGAGAGCACCACAGAATTAGGAACGCATCCCAGCAAAGCTTTCAAAATTGATTTGCTGCCAGTTCTAGAAGTGAGTTCTTCCAGGCTTTAACTGGTTTATGGCTCCACCTCCTGGAGTTCCCAAACCTGAGCACAAGTGCAAATGGAACACAATCTGCCAGCAATAGCCTTAAGAATCAGCTGGGTCTCTTGAGGCAGCCATGGAAAACTTTGGCTGAGACAAATCTATGTAGTTTCAAAGTAGTCCATGGGCTTCAGAGAAACCTGCTCTATTCAGTACTTGTTATATATCCCAAATAATGATTCTTTTACCAATTTTTTTTTCCCACCTTAACCTCTTTTTCTGAAGGTGTTCTATTCGTAGTGATTTAGGTATGGAGGGAATATGTCTTTCAGTCTAGGTGATTAATTAATCATATCTAGTGGTAAGTTTCCATTTAATATTCTTAAATTGGTACCTTTAACATCAGATAATTGCGCTTTTTAATTCTTTAAATAAATCTGTATGAATATTATATCTTAAATTTTGAAAAATACCAAAATGCTAAAATACATTTTTAAAAGACAAAGAAAAATCAATTGGAATTACTATATATTTTGTTTTCTGACAAAATGTCAGAATAAAAGCATACACTTAATTGTAATTATCCCATTCTCTGTGAGGCAAAGAAAATTCCTCTTCACACCAAATACTTGATTTTTTTACTTGTGTGAGATGTGTTAAAGATAATATGTTTATGTAGTATTTGATAATATTATAACTTAGAAGTGGCAAGAAATTTGTTTCCTAATATTTGGGGTTTTTTTGAAAGATGCTGATCTTCCAAATCAATATTATTTTAAAATCCATTTAAATTATAAAAGAATATGAAGCTACAGTTATGGCTTTTGACTCTTTTTGTTCTTTTTGTGCTCTGAAATTGAATGCATATCTCTGACCAGGTAAAATTGACATATTCTATATTCATACAGTGCCAGAAGGTGAATGAAGCTGCTTGTGACATTGCAAGAGAAGTGGCTAATGAAGGCGATGCTTTAGTGGCTGGAGGAGTCAGTCAAACACCATCATACTTAAGCTGCAAGGATAAAATAGAGGTTAAAGCAGTCTTTCGAAAGCAACTAGATGTCTTTATGAAGAAGAATGTGGACTTCCTAATTGCAGAGGTAAACCTGTAAAAAAAAGTATATGCCTTCAAGCTGCACAGTCTTAACTTTAAGATGTCTAGTCTACTTTAGGGAGTACAAGTATATATTGTTTCCTCTCTGTATACTTTAGAGGGTACAAGTAGCTATTCCTTCCTTCAAAATTTTCTGTTACGTGTTTATGCCAGTAGTATCAGATATTTTTCTAACTACACAGCAGCATCTGCAAGCATCCTAGAATAGGGTCTTGAAATCTAAATTTCTACCTCAGTCAAGTTAAATTGTGTACTGATACAAAGAGGACAGATCAATGTGATCTTGACTAGTTCCTATTTCTTCCCACACCACAAGCGATCAACTTAAGGGTTGACTTCTCTAGATGAAATAGTTCTTTGGGGATAAATCCCTGATTAACCTCCCATACGGGCATTCTTATTCTGAAACAAGAGTATGATTTTTTTCACTTGGTTTTACTTACTGACTTTTCAAAATCCTTTATAAACTCTGTGGCCAGTGAACTCTGTTGAATTCTGTTAGTGTGAATCAGAAAAGAATTAAGACATTGTATTGCTGGTAAATTTGGTGTCTGGATTAATGTGTTTATGCTTCATCTCCAAGAAACAGAAGTAGTCCAGTTTTAATTTCTTTCAGTATTTTGAACATGTTGAAGAGGCTGTCTGGGCAGTTGAAGTTCTAAAAGAATCTGGAAAGCCAGTTGCAGCTACAATGTGCATTGGTCCGGAGGGAGATATGCATGGTGTGCCCCCAGGACAATGTGCTGTCCAGCTGGTAAAGGCTGGTAAGAATTTTGTTTTAATATGCCCTTTAAAAGCATGATAAAAGTCAAGTCCTTAAATATTGAGATAAGTGGATGCGTATCTCTAGTAGGTACCTTCTCAATTATATCTGGTAAAAGTTTTGACCCTGTGAATAAATTTCTTGTGTGCTTTACTAGAGTAGTGTTTCAGCTATGAAATCCTTGTTAACCAGGATGGTATTGGGAACAGTAGCCACAAACAGCGGATACCCTTAACCTACTCAAATTCGGTTACAGAGCTAACCTTTGATTCTCAGTTCATGTTTTTAGAAATGTAAGGAGCACAGTTCAAACCCAGAATGACAGACTAAGAGGATGAAAAAAATTAAACTTTTTTTGCCTATCTAAGGCTGTGGTTCCCACAGGGCAAGGGGTAGGACAGCGGGTAGAAGAAATTAATCAGGGGCATGATGAATCATGGTACAGGGATTTATTATATCTGTTCTGAACTACTATTTTCCTTTGGAATTAAGAGTTGAAATCCAAAGGCAGAACCTGTGTTAGGAACCTGATAGCTATTTGCATATGTGGCTGTACAAAATCAGTCTTCACTGGTTAAGTACTGATTAAAAAAAGCAACTGTATGAGGCTGGGAGATGTGATTCATGATCAGGAAGGTAAAGAGGAGTGCAACTGAGATGTAAGTGGAATGATCAACCTCAGGAGAGCTGAGGCTGGCTCTAACCCAACTGCCTTGTTTTCATAACACTGATGGATCGTTTCTGCTTCTGGAGTGCTGTGGCTAAGAGCTTTGACCTCCTTCTTCCTAGAGAGTTGTGACTTGAAGTTATTTTCCTCCTCCTAGGTGCTTCTATTGTTGGAGTCAACTGCCATTTTGATCCAGACACTTGCCTGAAAACTGTGAAACTGATGAAAGAGGGCTTGCAGGCTGCTAAACTGAAAGCCCACCTGATGTCCCAGCCACTTGCTTTCCATACACCTGATTGTGGAAAGCAGGGTTTTATTGATCTTCCAGAATTTCCCTTTGGTAAGGCATGGATATCTTTTATTTTTCTTTCTTCTTTTCTTTTTTATTGTCTGTTCCCTTTTCCCCCCAGCTTTTAGTAAAGCTGAAGCTGCAAGGCATCCTTCTATAAATATGATGAGTGTCAATTATCCTGTCTGGCATTTTCCGTAGGGTATTGAATTACGGATCATCCACATAGTGAGAGTACTTCTGTAGTCTCACAGCATGTGATTGAAAGTGAAATTATAGTGAAAACAGTTTAAGTGTACAACCCAAACTCAATTAAAAAATGCAGTTCTTCCTCATGCTGTAGAGCCTTGTTCAGGACAGATATAAACAGTCCAAAGAAATTAACAAAATCAAATACACTAAAAAAGCCTCGGCATTCTGGGTTAGGACATCTATCCCACAAGTCCTGTAATGTTTACCTAAGTAGGGATTTAGTGGACAATGCGTGTACAGAACTGGATATAGGTGCATGATTACTGCATTCATAATTGTTCAGTCTTGCATGTGTACCTGTCTAATATAAGCGAGATTAGAGAGAAGAAGCCAGAAGAGGGAATATGTTCTTTGATGTTGCTAACAAATAGGTTAGCAGTTTGGAGATGGATTCATCACATGTGTGCTCAGGAGAAGTTCCACAAAGAATTTCTAGCTGAAATATTCAGCCACTTTTGGTATATATAAGACTTGTGTATTTAGAGCTTATTTCCACTTGTGATGTAGAAGATCACATCCCTTTAAGATTACAGGACATAATCAGCCTAAACATTATAAAAATCCTTAGAAAAATGCTTTCATTTTCAGGTATTATACACTCTTCTATTCGAGATCAGACTATAAACATTCAGAACTTGAATTTGTAGCAAAAAAAAAAGAGATAGATGTGATTTCCAGGAAGACTTTTTTTTTTTTAATTCCTCTCTTTACCTAAATGAAGGAAAGAGAATAAAGCATGAGCCTCAGATTCATTACAGGATAATAATATTCCCGAGTTCTGAAAATATTCTAGGGTGTTTAAAAGTGTTAGGAACTCATTTATCCTATTCATTCCTTCATACAACTCCTCTGATTGCAAGCAAGAAAAGACAGAACAGATGCAGTAAGCAATCAAGCAAATTGAAGGATTCACTCTTCTGTTTGCTATGGTTCTTGGCTTCTATGTTATAAGCAATCTCTATGAGATTTCAGCTTTCAGAAATTTCATAAGTCAGTTGGAGAGTGCTACTTGTGTTAATGCTTTCAAAAGTCAGAAGGAGCAAGTGATCAGTTGACAGGAGATAAGCAGTTTAGTAAATCATTGTTAAACTGACCCAGTTAATTCTGGTTTTTGTGGAAGGCAATATGCACAAAGAGGTATTTAGATATTTGAAGTGTACATAACCTCTGTACAGGCCATCAAGATTTCGGTTTCTAGGAAAGCATTGGCAGTGCTGTTTTGCCAAACTCCAGCATCTAGATGCCAGCAGTATCTTTTTATCTGTAGAACTTTTTCCTCTGTGTTTTCTCTTCTGTTGCTCTGAGTTGCTCTGAGATGTCACCCATTAAGCAAGGACAATGTTTTGGAAAGAAATGTCCCAGTCAGTCAAAGCATACCCAATCATCTTAAGAGAAAATATATATAGGGGCTAAAGGTAGGAGCAGGTTACAATCTTTGCATGAAAAAATGATGAAAATTTTTTATCATAGATGTTAATATGAACTGCTAAGCTAGAGATATTTAATTCTGAATAAAACCAAGAAAAGAAATGCATTGATAGGCATGGAAAATAGAATATTAATCAATTTTGGGAAGGGAAAATCCCATAAAACATGATCTACATGGCAGCTTCTTCTCATAGAATACTGCTTGTTTTCAGTCACTATGTTTCACCATGTATGGCGTGTTCTTGTGGTGAGGTCATTCCCTGTTTCTTCAGATAGGTTAGGTCATTGCTGTCCTTGCACTCCTGAAGCATATGGACTGATTTGTAGAATTGTAGAATGGTTTGGTTTGAAAGGGAACTTAAAGATCATCTAGTTCCAACTCCCCTGCCATGGGCAGGGACACCTCCCACTAAACCAGGTTGCTCAAAGGCCCATCCAACCTGGCCTTGAACACTTCCAGGGAGTGGGCTTCCACAGCTTCACTAGGCAACCTGTTCCAGTGCCTCACCACCCTCACAGCAAAGAATTTCTCCCTAATATTTAATCTAAATCTACCATCTTTCAGTTTGAAACCATTACCCTTCATCCTATCACTATGCTCCCTGAGAGACAGTCTCTTCCCTTCCTTCCTGCAGGCCCTCTTTAAATACTGGAAGGCTGCTATAAGGTCTCCCTGGAGCCTTCTTTTCTTAAGGCTGAACAGCCCCAACTCTCTTAGACTATCCTCATAGGAGAGGTGCTCCAACCGCCCCCCTCCTAATCATCTTTGTGGCCTCCTCTGGACCTGCTTGAGTAGGTCCATGCTTTTTTTTATGCTGTGGACCCCAGAGCTGGACCCCATACTCCATGTGGGGTCTCAGAGTTGTGGAGTAGAGGGACAGAATCACCTCCCTTGATCTGCTGGCCACACTTATTTTGATGCAGCCAAGAATCCAATTGGCTTTCTGGGCTCCAAGTTCACATTGCTGGCTCAAATTCAGTTTTTCATGCACCAATGCCTTCAAGTCCTTCTCCACAGGGCTGCTCTTAATCTACTCATCGTGTGTATTAGTGCTTGGGATTGCCCCTACGCAGGTGCAGCACCTTGCAGTTGACTCTGTTGCACTTCATGATGTTTGCACAGGCCCGCCTTGCAGGGCTGCCAGGTTCCCTCTGGATGGCATCTCTTCCCTCTAGAGCATCAACTACACCACTCCGCTTGGTGTCACCTGCAAACTTTCTGTGAAGGTGCACTCAATGCCACTATCCATGTTGCCAAGAAAAATGTTTTACAATACCGGTTCCAATACCAACCTGAGGGACACTACTGGTCTCCACCCAAACATCAAGGTGTTGACTGCAATTCTTTCACTGTGACCATCCAGCCAGTTCCTTATCCACCTAGTGGTCCGTCCATCAAATCCACGTCTCTCCAATTTAGAGACAAAGGTATTGTGTGGGACAGTATCAAATGTTTTGCAAAAGTGCGAGTAGGTGACATCCATTGCTCTTCGGTTATCCACCAACACTGTAACCCCATCACAGAAGGGCACCAAAACGTCAGGCACAATTTGCCCTCAGTGAAGCCATGTTGGCTGTCACCAGTCACCTCTCCCTAGCACAGTTTCCAGAGGGTCTACACTATGATCTTGCCGGGCACAGAGGTTACTGACTGGTCTGTAGCTCTCTCTCTTTTCTCCTTTTTAAAAAAGGAGGGTTATGTTCCCTTTCTCCAGTTAGTGGGAACTTCACCCATCTGCCACAGCTTCTCAAATATGATGGATAGTGGCTTAGTCACTTTGTGCACCAGTTCCCTCGCAACTCGTGGATGCATGTCATCAGGTCCCATAGACAGGGTGGGTGATGGAGAAGACAGGGAAACGCTTTTTACTGTGCCCCTGGAGTTTAGTTGCTTGTACGGGTACAAATTGAGTGAAAGATTTCTTAGTGTTGATCTTTTTGTATCAATTTTACATTAGCTTTTTAGTGATACATGAGACAAGGAAATAATGAATTCATGCTTCTCATGCTTTCTCTCACATCTGCAGGACTGTACACAAGCTTATTTAAACAACTTTCTAAGATAGCTTCATCTGGTTTTCCTTCTGATACTAGACCATGTGCTTTTTCTTTGTCCAGTGATTCCCTCTGAGAGCAATCATATGAACCTGTCTCTTAACTACCCATTGGAGTTATCATAGGTTTGCTTCATATCACTTTGCCTATTAGGCATTTTTGGGAAAGGATGTAGGGAGAAGAATCCTACTTCTCTGCTGTGTTGCTGGATCCTTACTACCTCACCACACCTTCTTTGCCCAGCGGAGTGTTCAGCGCACAGATACCATATTGTTGCGATTTTCAAAGGGAAGGTCGCA